TGATAAATAAAATGTTAAACAGCAGACCCTGAATCCCTAGGGGACTATTGGGAGGGTAGCAAACAACGCATAACCACACTCATGTCTGTGCTTTTATAAACTGGACATTGATAAATGTATACATCACATCTGAGAGCAGCAGGGTGTGTCAGATTTTATCTGTTAACCAACAGTGGAACAAAACATATAGAAATGATAGATGTCACTCCACAGTCAGTGGTATAAGTACAATCTAATTCATTTGCTTACTAACATGAGCATGATTAATATATTCACCACCCTGCTTCTCTCAGATATCATCAATATCTACTAACCTAATGTAGCAATTACTGTTATTCAATAAGTGATCCCTGTAGGATCTTCATGGCAGGTGCAATGTTAATTTAATCTTCTTTTCTTTTTCAATTTTTATTTCTTTTTTCCTTTTCACTGCTCTCACCATTAATATTAATTGTTATACATATGATAAATGAGTAAGTTATGTGGATAACACTGTTCAACAACAGGTACCTACATATGGCATTTGAGAAGCATCCATCAATTACTCTCCGACATATAGAGATAGCACGTAGCAGATGTCAGAATCAAACAGAACCATCTAAGTTTGATGCTATTTTTCCTTCAATCAATCTCAAAATTATACAAGCACATCTTTGCCAACCAAGAGGAACATGCTAGTTGAAATCTAAGAAAGATCAATTTAGTGCTTCTGAAGAAATTGTGATTTCAGATTTCAATTGTCAAAATCCAAGAACCAGATGGTCACTTGTCAGCCATTTTGTTTTTCCATCTTAACATTCAGCTTCAACATTTGAGATTAAGAGAAAATTGAAAAAGAATCATCCTCTTTCATTGAATAAATGTTTGAATGAAGATTCCATAAAAACATCAGATTTTTTTTTCTTTATGTAATTCTAAAGGTATGGTTGTAACAAACTTAAATTATCAAAATTCAAGATGGCCACCAGTTAGCCATTTTGTTTTTTTGATTAGTCTAAAACAAGGGAAACAGACATCAAATTTAGAAAAGAGATATCTTGGGCTTCTAATGTAGTGAGAACAAGAATTTCTAAAGTTAAAAGGACAACATATGACCAGCAATGACAAACAATTGTCTAAAGTTGGAAGAATAACAGACAGAGGAACAAATGGCAGACAATGGACAGCCAAATATGTATAGATTGTAGGATAGAATTGATCACAACATGAATTGGTTATTAAAGCTACCTGCATCAGATAATTCAGTCTCTAACATCTGAACGAAGGAGGCTAGAAAAAAGTTGTTTTCTGTTATTTCATATCAGAACATTGATGTTATACTTAAAATGTGTCATTACAGCATGAAAAAGTATGCCCAGACGGCATGTGTTATGGCCTTCTATTTAAGCTTACATTGGCCTGGGTGCTATTTCATGTCTCCCTTGGTTACTGCTGCTATCAGTAAATCTGTAACGTCTATGGTCGTGAAATCATGATGTAATTTTGTTAGTTTGGTCATTAATGTAATCAATTATATAGTCATAATTTATACCAAATCAAACCCAATAACATAATTAAAGCCTGACACATTCTTATATCACTGTAAAGTTTCATTGACAATAATGGCTTTCTTAATTGAAGGTAAACATTTGTTGGACATCCAATTTTCATTTCTTCCTAATTTATACTTAATTTGTTTTCTCTTCAGGACCCAATATCAGTGTTTACAAGTGGTAATAGCCTAGATAGATTCACTTACACTTAAGTTTCAATTAATCTAATTTAACTGCCAGAAATTGAAGATGATATAGGTTACAAATAAAGCAATGTCAGAAGGTGGTTTAGTGGCAGCCAATTAGATTTTGGTGATACGCTTGTGAAATGCTTCATTATCTATAGGATTAGGTAGTCCATGCCTTTTCAGCTGGACATACACCAAAAAGAATTCATTTGGGACCAAAGTGAAATCACTTGGAACCTGTTAAAATAAATTGGGACCTTGGTGAGAAAATATGAGAATTAGCTGAGGTAACATGAGATTTAGGTGAGATAATATGAGATTTAAGTGAGATAATATAAGATTAAGTTGAGATAAGTTGAGAACTTGGTGAGATAATATGAGATTTAGGTGAGATAACATGAGATATCGGTTATATAATTTGAGACCTTCGTGAGATGATATGAGATTTAGGTGAAATCATTTGGGAAGTAATTGAGACAGAATGGTTATCTAATGTAATACAGATTATCTTTTCATTATCCGTTTCCCATTTTCAGTAGCTGAATATCTTGAGGACATGAAAATTCTGCTATTGAATCAGAATCTTTGTATCTTAACAGTTATTCTCCTTCATTAATGCACGTTCTCCTTGTCAGGAGGATTACGTCTTCTATGTACCATTCAGTCGATGACAAATAGTAAGGTGTTGTCTTCACATGCAGACGCTCTTAAGGCTGCGGGGTCAATGAACCCAGGTATCTCTTCAAACCTCTAATTAATTAGCACTTCACTATTATACATTTCTGGCAGTGGCATGTCTTTGTACAGGCTGTCAATGACTGGAACAAATCCCATTCAAACACAGTTGTGTTTTGTATTACAACACAGATAACATTATCCACTTGGTTTTGTATAGATAATCGGCTCCCTAAAGTGATAATGTGATGCGAATTAGATGTATATTTTCTGATCGTCAATTAGCATAATTCTATTGACTCCAACCCATAGCACCTTTTCTAAGGCACTAGTGTCCCCAACCAATAGCAACTTTTTCAGAGGATGTGTGAAACCAGTGTGTCCTCCACCCATAGCACATTTAACTACTGAGGATGTGTAACCAGTGTGTCCTTGACCCATAGCACATTTAACTACAGAGAGGAGTGTGTCCTAAACCCATAGCACATTAAACTACTGAGGATGTGAAACCAGTTTGTCCTAAACCCATAGCACATTTAACTACTGAGGATGTGTAACCAGTGTGTCCCCGACCCATAGCACATTTAACTACTGAGGACATGTGACCAGTGTGTCCTCGACCCATAGCACATTTAACTACTGAGGATGTGTAACCAGTGTGACCCATAGCACATTTAACTACTGAGGATGTGTAACCAGTGTGTCCTCGACCCATAGCACATTTAACTACTGAGGATGTGTAACCAGTGTGTCCTCAACCCATAGCACATTTAACTACTGAGGAGGTGTAACCAGTGTGTCCCCAACCCATAGCACATTTAACTACTGAGGATTTGTAACCAATTTGTCCTCAACCCATAGCACATTTAACTACTGAGGATATGTAACCAGTGTACCCTCGACCCATAGCACATTTAACTACTGGGGATGTGCAACCAGTGTGTCCTAAACCCATAGCACATTTAACTACTGAGGACGTGTAACCAGTGTGTCCTCGACCCATAGCACATTTAACTACTTAGGATGTGTGTAACCAGTGTGTCCTCAACCCATAGCACATTTAACCACTGAGGATGTATAAGCAGTGTCTCTTCGACCCATAGCACATTTAACTACTAAGGATGTGTAACCAGTGTGTCCTCAACCCATAGCACATTTAACTACCCATAGCACATTTAACTACTGAGGATGTGTAACCAGTGTGTCCTCGACCCATAGCACATTTAACTACTGAGGACGTGTAACCAGTGTGTCCCCGACCCATAGCACATTTAACTTCTGAGGAGGTGAAACCAGTGTGTCCTAAACCCATAGCACATTAAACTACTGAGGATGTGAAACCAGTTTGTCCTAAACCCATAGCACATTTAACTACTGAGGATGTGTAACCAGTGTGTCCTCAACCCATAGCACATTTAACTACTGAGGAGGTGTAACCAGTGTGTCCCCGACCCATAGCACATTTAACTACTGAGGATTTGTAACCAATTTGTCCTCAACCCATAGCACATTTAACTACTGAGGATGTGTAACCAGTGTGTCCTCGACCCATAGCACATTTAACTACTGAGGATGTGCAACCAGTGTGTCCTCAACCCATAGCACATTTAACTACTGAGGAGGTGTAACCAGTGTGTCCCCGACCCATAGCACATTTAACTACTGAGGATTTGTAACCAGTTTGTCCCCGACCCATAGCACATTTAATTACTGAGGAGGTGTAACCAGTGTGTCCTCAACGCATAGCACATTTAACTACTGAGGATGTGTAACCAGTGTGTCCTCGACCCATAGCACATTTAACTACTGAGGATGTGTAACCAGTGTGTCCTCGACCCATAGCACATTTAACTACTGAGGATGTGTAACCAGTGTGTCCTCGTCCCATAGCACATTTAACTACTGAGGATGTGTGTAACCAGTGTGTCCTCAACCCATAGCACATTTAACTACTGAGGATGTGTAACCAGTGTGTCCTAAACCCATAGCACATTTAACTACTGAGGATGTGTAACCAGTGTGTCTTCGACCCATAGCACATTTAACTACTGAGGACGTGTAACCAGTGTCCTCGTCCCATAGCACATTTAACTACTGAGGATTTGTAACCAGTTTGTCCCCGACCCATAGTACATTTAACTACTGAGGATGTGTAACCAGTGTGTCCTCAACCCATAGCACATTTAACTACTGAGGATGTGTAACCAGTGTGTCCTCGACCCATAGCACATTTAACTACTGAGGATGTGCAACCAGTGTGTCCTCAACCCATAGCACATTTAACTACTTAGGATGTGTGTAACCAGTGTGTCCTCAACCCATAGCACATTTAACTACTGAGGATGTGTAACCAGTGTGTCCTCGTCCCATAGCACATTTAACTACTGAGGATGTGTGTAACCAGTGTGTCCTCAACCCATAGCACATTTAACTACTGAGGATGTGTAACCAGTGTGTCCCCAACCCATAGCACATTTAACTACTGAGGATGTGTAACCAGTGTGTCCTCGACCCATAGCACATTTAACTACTGAGGATGTGTAACCAGTGTGTCCTCGTCCCATAGCACATTTAACTACTGAGGATGTGTGTAACCAGTGTGTCCTCAACCCATAGCACATTTAACTACTGAGGATGTGTAACCACTGTGTCCTCGACCCATAGCACCTTTAACTACTGAGGATATGTAACCAGTGTATCCTCGACCCATAGCACCTTTAACTACTGAGGATGTGTAACCAGTGTATCCTCGACCCATAGCACATTTAACTACTGAGGATGTGTAACCAGTGTGTCCTCGACCCATAGCACCTTTAACTACTGAGGATGTGCAACCAGTGTGTCCTCGACCCATAGCACATTTAACTACTGAGGATGTGTAACCAGTGTGTCCTCGACCCATAGCACATTTAACTACTGAGGATGTGTAACCAGTGTATCCTCGACCCATAGCACCTTTAACTACTGAGGATATGTAACCAGTGTATCCTCGACCCATAGCACATTTAACTACTGAGGATGTGTAACCAGTGTATCCTCGACCCATAGCACCTTTAACTACTGAGGTTATGTAACCAGTGTATCCTCGACCCATAGCACCTTTAATTACTGAGGATGTGTAACCAGTGTATCCTCGACCCATAGCACATTTAACTACTGAGGATGTGTAACCAGTGTATCCTTGACCCATAGCACCTTTAACTACTGAGGATATGTAACCAGTGTATCCTCGACCCATAGCACCTTTAACTACTGAGGATGTGTAACCAGTGTATCCTTGACCCATAGCACCTTTAACTACTGAGGATATGTAACCAGTGTATCCTCGACCCATAGTACCTTTAACTACTGAGGATATGTAACCAGTGTATCCTCGACCCATAGTACCTTTAACTACTAAGGATATGTAACCAGTGTATCCTCGACCCATAGTACCTTTAACTACTGAGGATGTATAAGCAGTGTCTCTTCGACCCATAGCACATTTAACTACTAAGGATGTGTAACCAGTGTGTCCTCGACCCATAGCACAATTAACTTCAAAGCGGACACAAACTTTTGAGCATATAGAAATAAAAAGTAAAGACCTCTGAATGTATGACTATTGCCAGGGCTCTCGATCTGCCAGATTTGGGGCTCTCGATCTGCCAGATTTGGGGCTCTCGATCTGCCAGATTTGGGGCTCTCGATCTGCCAGATTTGAGGGCCGATATCCGGCCCCATTCCCAATGCAAAATAGTATCTTTTTTTCCCAATTTAGACCCCAGGTTTTCCCAATTCTAAGGAAAACATCACTATTTTTCTCAATTCTAAGGGCCCTGGGCCCCAGTCCCAAAATGGGGTGTGAGAGCACTAATGGCAGACTACAGAATAAGATCACACAGCATTTTTTTGTGCGAGGTTAAGAGTCTGTGATAATTCGTTACTTTTGTAATACTTGTAATATATAATAGTACAACATGTCAAGTATAATAAAGAACAGACCCGCTGCTGGATGGTCATACAACTGTCACGGTAAGAACGGAGAGGAATGGTCATAAATTATCTATTATATTTAGTTACACTGCTTGAGCAAAAAAACACATATATCATTGAGAAAAAAATATTAGCCTCAAATTCCTAGAGGCAGATTGGTGTGGTTCAAGAGAGTCTTAGTAGGTGGTAGATATTTAACACTACGATATAATTTGGTGCGGAAAACAAAATATATGTGATTCTTATGTATGTATGATGTTATGGGTAAAAAATCTGGCTGATTACAATCAAAATACTGCAAAAAGTCTGTATCCTATCGGGTCAGATTGAGTAGTTTCTTGACAAGTGAAAACATTTAGTACCAATATCATAACGATAATGGCAAAGGAACTATGTCTTTTTGAGAGCCGACAATTTGTTTTATGTCTACTTCTAATGATTCTAGCTGTGATTTGGGTGAGGTCAGGCGCCATTCCTATTTACCAGAATCTCGTGTCCAATGCAAACAGCCATGTCCGTATAGAGGTCATAAAAGTCTACACTGATGATCCGAGTCATTGCTATGGGTTTACCCTAATTACAGAGCAACTCTTATTCTTTATGTACTGATACAACTTTTTATCATATAAGCTGTACAATAACATTTATTTGTTTTCGATTTATTATTGCAGTGTATCGCTTTATTTTGTTTGGTGTTATGTATACAAGGAATAGAGCTAACATCATAGTCTATACTTGGTTTGATGTGAGTATTAATCTTCTGTAGGATACCCCAGGGTATGTAGGGGGACCGGGTTGTTAAGTGGAATCAATACAGGATAAACAACATTCGAGTAGGTTTCTTCAATTCATTTCCTACTTGTCCACCAGTTTTGCCCCTTAAGCATGCTTCATTAAGACCTGAACATGTAGATAAAATGTATAACTGTTTCCATTGATACAGTGAAAACTGCTTAATATCATGGGGCCTTTGTCTGAAGAAAATGTGAGAAAACCAAAACATGACATTAACAGTTAATATGCAATTTTGATAAGCAAACTTTATGCAAGGGGGTTATTTACAAGATCAATGTACCTTAGCATATTTAATGTCTATTTAGTTTGTTATATGTCACAAATTCATACACATTGGTGAAATTTAAGCAGCTGAAGGACTATTTAGTGTAAATTTCAATGTTTACATTAGCCCATAGTTCTACAGAAATTCATTGGGATTTTTCTGCATTTGTTTTGCAAAGAAGAGTTTGTGAAAGAACACATCTTTATTTCAGGACATGAAAATCACAGAATGCATGATTGGCCATGAATCTCAATGCTTAAAAATGTCTGAAAATGAATAAAAGAATGATAACTTAATCACTCAAAGTTAAAGTGGCTTTTTGATATTCAGTGTTGATCAATGTTCATCAAGAATGAAAAAAGTAGTCCAGGAACTTTGTCAGATCATAAGAATTCAGCAAGCCATGAAAATAGGCCATCACCAACCTTTAGAACCCAGGCAGGTATGATGGAATCTGAAATTTCACCAAAAGGTCCTGACCCTTTCTGTTATCAGTTTACCACACAGTCTGTATATCTGACGTCACCTTACCACATCGCCTATATCTGACACCCCTTTAAACATCAAAAGTGGAAATCTTGTCTCCTCCCTATTGTGGTTGGATAAAGTCTGTCTGGGCTGCAGGTCGTATCCGAGTCAAACCCATGATACAAAAATCCAATTTAATAAAGGAAATATTTGTTTGAGGTCAAGGTCAAAGGTCAAACATCAGAGCCCCTGTCCACTTGACCATCTGACTGGTGCAGTGATTTGTCTATAAAAGATGATACACTTGTCACTGATTTGTTCATTTGCGTAAAATTGGATTTGAATGATTTATGTGTAGTTCTTTCAGATAGTGGTAGGGGGTCAAACTGTTAGTAAAATTCACTGGCATTTAGAGTCAATCACTTCCAACATCTTCAACTTGAGTAACAAATCAAATTACAGTCAAATGCCAGAGGCACAACCTATTATTGCTGGATATTTCTCCAACATGTTGGACCTCCCAATTGAATTTTCACCCAAAAAGGGGCTTTGTCTAGATTGAATTAAGGCAAGGAGCAAGGGAATGCCTGCAATGAAACAGGGATTATTTAATTACAAATACTTAAACCTCTTCTAATTCTGTGCACGTCACCATCAGAGTACTCATCGCTATTATATAGATGTAGTAAGGTCGGGGCAAAAAGATTCGGTGTGTGATCAGCATGTACGATTTTACTTCTGTCTACATCATATGCTAGCAACTTACTTATTCATTGTCCTCAAAATATTTTTAAAACAACATGATTTGATTTACTCAGTCACACATGGCAACATGAATTCTAAACCTGGGATTTCATAAGCATTCCCAACATTGAAGGCACTATAAAAGTCTCACACTGAATTCCACACTTGGCTATATAAAGACAAATACTTCATAGTCTGTACAACCTTCTTTGTTCTGTTGTTTTTATTTGAAACCACCAAACTGCTTTATGTTCTTTCATTATATAACATCTTTGGATTTCTGATATCCTTCCATGTCATCACTTACTCTACAAATTGTCATCAACGACTGTGCACCTTGTCATCACTTATTGTGTGCCTTAACATCAGTAACTGTGACCTTGTCATCACTTACTCTACAAATTGTCATCAACGACTGTGCACCTTGTCATCACTTATTGTGTGCCTTAACATCAGTAACTGTGACCTTGTCATCACTTATTGTACACTTTGTCAACACTGACTGTGCACCTTGTCATCACTAATTGTGTGCCTTAACATCAGTAACTGTGACCTTGTCATCACTTATTGTACACTTTGTCAACAATGACTGTGCACCTTGTCATCATTTAATATGCATCATGTCACTAATTGTGCACCTTATTGTCATTTACTGCACATCTTGTCATATCAATTACTGTGCACTCTGTCATCACTGAATGTGTACCTTGTCATCAGTTACTGTGCACCTTGTCACTAATTGTGCACCTTATTGTCATTTACTGTGGATCTTGTCATTACACTTACTGTGCACTCTGTCATCACTTACTGTGCATCTTGTTGTCACCAAACAGCACACCCAGTCCTCAATAACAGTGCACTTTGTTATCATTAATAATGCATCTTTTTATCACTACTTAAAGTGAATGTGAATAATATTGATGTTGTTTTCAAACAAACATCTTGTTTGGGAATACTAAAGTTGCTTTGAGGATATAACAATAAGACTATCATAAAATCACAAGGTCTCATTTTGGTATCTTGATGTCCTTGCTTTTGGAGGCACAAAGCCCATATATGGGGGGACATCTGGCTATATGGAGTAGCAGAGAGCATGTTTTTTCAGACAAAAGGACTCTTTTGCAGTTACGTGTACCATCATCAGAATGCCCACATAGAGACCAAGGGCTGTACCGTATAGACAAACTATAAGCCATTAATGTTACATGTATAAGAAAGTGACGACTATTGAAACAGTGAATTATGATCCTTTGTCACACAAGATGATGCTTGTCATCTATGTACTGAAAGCCCCCCTCCTCCATCCCCTAGGAAAGCCATTTCCAAAACCCACCACTATGCTGAGTCTCAGAGGCAGAAAGCTCTTTTCTACAATTATATTAGTAAATTCAATTTGGCTTGTTTTGATAAAAGAGCACTATGGACAATTAGATGTTTGGGAAAGCCTGTGAGATTCTAAGTCTTAATCTAATGACATTGCTGGAAAATGTTCCTTACTATTAAATGCGCTTTATATACAACTGATGCAAAAGTGTTGCAAGCTTTCAAACTGAAAGTACAAATTTGATTTTTTCCATTAAGTTCTTTCCTTTCCTTTCATAAAATTAATAAGATTTAATTTTTTCATGGTTAATTTTCAGTTTTCAGGATCAAACTTTCAGACTGTAAGGTAATTAAAATGTTAATTTAGATTCCTTGACTTTGTATTTAAGCTATAAATACTTACAATGAGATTGGTGAATACGCTGTTCCAACCTAGAGATCAAACCCATTACATAGAACACAGGCCAGTGTGATTAGCCTAAAATCCTTTAAAAGCAAAATTTCAAAATTTTGTTATTTGTTGAGTTTTTTTGTTGTTTTAGGGGTTTTTTTTTTCGAAAGAGTTGCAAACGTACGAAAAATGCTTTTTGATCCCTGCCCATATATAAAAATGTCAGACTACAGATACTAAAATTCAATTTTGACTTTCAATATATCAGAACATCTACTAGATCATATTGTCAGAAGGCGAATGCATAATCCCATAATAATGGTATTACAATATTAGTGGTATAGATTGTGTTTTTTTCAGTATCAGACTTTAAAGCTTACTATTAACAATACTACCTCTAGTAGCACTTAGCCAAATTAAAAGATTGTGCAGAAGACATACAAGTGAATCGCACCTTCTTATACAAAATTAGAGCTTGATGCAGAGACAAACAATGAATAAAACTACATCATACAGCTGTTTCGTTCCTCTAGGATTTGTCAGTGATGGTTAGGGCCTAAATTTTTAATCCTTGGAGGCAAATGAGGAAAATCCAAAGAGATCAAGAGAAGAGAAATATCAAAATTCAGATGCAGACGTACACTCATGCAGACGTACACTCATGCAGAGTACTTAGATGAGTTAAAATCTGAACTCTAATAATGAAGTGTTACTTAAAGCAAAATGACTGTTACTCCTAGAAGAACAAGCGTTAACTAAAACTGTCATCCGAAAATAATATTAATTAAGAAGGGGATCGATGGGACACCACATCATCCTTCAGCAACGATTCTACTCTAAACATCAAATAATTACACAGTTAAAGAATTAATAAAAACCTATTGCTAGTAACCAAAACATTCCTGATAAAAGTTCGAGTTTATCATCTCAGGATCAGCCAGACCATCATTTGCAGTTGCTGGTGGCTACCTGAATGAAAACCATACTGGAGGCCAAACGCTTGCCATCCAGAGCAATTAGGATAAAGTGTCTAGTACAAATAGACAACCAAAACAGCAAATAACAAGTCTATTTCTTAGCTTTCTGAGAAACACAAGCCAACACAGATTGAGTGTTGAATGACGTACCTTCGATCTTCACCAAGGTTACGTAGGCCAATGCTCGACCGACACATCATACACTGCCTTGGCTCCCAAGGTAAATGTCAGTGTTAGAAAATGTCATTCAGATGCACTATACTAACATTACATCTCTCTTTTGTAGATCATATGTGCCATTACAAATATTTCTGGAGACAAAGCATTTACTTTGAATTGAAAAGGCTTCAAAAGAGATTGTGAAGAACAAACACAAAAACACTACACACGTAACCCTGTCAAACTTTCACATTTAGCTAGGCATGGGTGGTATAATAGTCCAATGAAGATACCTGTCTGCCTTTAAATAGATATAGAAAGTAGTTTATATAATAGTTCCTTATTTTGAACTGTCAGCATTCACATTTTACCTCTGCCATGTGATAATTGTTTCTGACAGCCTGACAGATATTGTCTCTATCCTTTACTTTAATGGAACATAATCTTAATTGAATGTCACAAGATATATTGATCTGCAATACATGGGACTTTAAGTCTCCAAGACCATCCTTTTACATTTTCAAATTGAATCTCAAGAAAACTTTTATTTTTAATAATATTGAGCTAAACATAGTAAAGAGTACATTTTGTAATTGTAAGTCCATGGCCAGATCACAAATGAAATTAAGTACAATATGCTTTGAATATTATGTGGGCAAGATCTCATTAATTTTTCACAAATTCTAATCGATCTCATAAACATTGCCAATTGACCTCTGAGAGGTACATGACAACGTTTGGTTATTGATCATTGAACACCTTTCAAAACACAAAGCAGTACGTACTCTACAGGTTTGGATATTTATGCTAAACACTGCAGTTTAATATTGAACAGAGTTATTGAACCTTTTTAATATAGTGTTGAACAACATGCTCTCTGTTGAACATTGTTATATGCCAATAAACATTGTTGTTTGATGTTGAATGTTGCTATTTGGTGTTCAACATTATAATTTGTTGTTGAAACTTGTTATCTGGTGCTGAGCATTAGAACACTGCTGCATGTTTATGAACAATTGATCTTGTTCAACATTGAATACTACTTGGACATAATGATTGAAGATGATCTAAAAGTTAATGCTTATTATCTGAATTTTATTACTGGGTGTTGAACATTGCTGGTTATCTCTGTGGCTGGATACTGAACATTGCTTCTTATCTCTGTGGCTGGATCCTGAACATTGCTGGTTATCTCTGTGGCTGTATACTGAACATTGCTTCTTATCTCTGTGGCTGGATACTGAACATTGCTTCTTATCTCTGTGACTGGGTGTTAAACATTGCTGGTTATCTCTGTGGCTGGATCCTGAACATTGCTAGTTATCTCTGTGGCTGTATACTGAACATTGCTTCTTATCTCTGTGGCTGGATACTGAACATTGCTTCTTATCTCTGTGACTGGGTGTTGAACATTGCTGGTTATCTCTGTGGCTGGATCCTGAACATTGCTTCTTATCTCTGTGGCTGGATACTGAACATTGCTTGATATCTTTGTGACTGGGTGTTGAACATTGCTAGTTATCTCTGTGGCTGGATACTGAACATTGCTTGATATCTTTGTGACTGGATACTGAACATTGCTAGTGATCTTTGTGACTGGGTGCTAAACATAGCATAGTTATGCTGTGATAGTGTGGAACAGATGCTGAATTTATTGTGCTATCACACCGACAGGTAGTTCATGAATGCTAGTTACTATAATTCAATGAAATTGTATAAAAGCTTCTCATTCAGAATAAACCTCCATCTCAATATATCAACTGTAAAATATTTTTGAAGACCGAGATTTTAGGATAGGACTGAAACCAGGTTGGTATGCTATTAAGATTTTCTTTAATCTCCCAAAAACATATTTTGATTTATTTTTTAAGGACTGAAAATTAAGATATTAGCGGGGAAATCCCTTGCCACTTTGACAAACTGTCAACATGCATGTACTTCTGTATTTTATATAAGACCTTTCCCAAATTATTTATAGCATAGATTTGTTCCAACTTATCCAAATATCTTTTTTGTGTGTAAAATCAGCAGGAGAGGCAATAAGCAAGTTTCATAAAAACACCAGCCTCCTATGTTTTATTATAAACATCCCACTCAAAAATAAACAAAAGCCCACTAAGTTTTGCCCGAAACTTAATCTCTTCTGACAATGTTACAGTGTTCTTGTTTATTTTTTGTTGGGAGGGAAGTGGGGGATAAGCCAGGGTGTGAAGGGTGGCTGTTCTGAGACAGAGAAGAAAAGAGGAAAACGGTGAAAGTTGAAACCTTAGAGGGAGGGAATGAGGAGGTAAATGTTGGAAAGGGGAACAGTATTTTATACTGATGAAAGTTCATCATAATATTGACTGATACATTGAGATATGGGGCATAGGATATAATGACGATACTGTCCTGGGATCATATGGGTTGATAATGATGTTTAGTGGGGAAAGGAGGTGAGAGGCGATTGAATTGCCTACATCTAGACCTAGCTAACATGAATACAAAACTGACCAGGTGATCCCAATCAGACTGCCCACCTGTTACATAAGTGGAACACCATCATTAAACCTGTATATATGTTCTTTTACATATATAGCATCAGTTCACCTTGAGCTTTACAGCATCTCATACAAATTAGTCTGCATCGTTAAATATTATCATTGGAATATCTTTTCTTCACAAATTCCAGTTCAGATAATGTCAGCTCTCATATCTGGAATACCTTTCTACAGGTAATGCAGTAAGGTAGAGGAATCCCTATCAGCTGATGGTTTATTTTCACCTGCAACCTAAAGACACTTGAGGTGTCTATTTCGTGCAAAATTTCATAAATGACATATTCTCATTGGACGCAAAGTAATGAATTTATTCATTCAGATCAAACCCAAAATGTCAAATGTGTCACAGGAATTTGAAGAACCAGTAAGGAAATTACTTATTCAGTACAGTGTAGAAAACCATATGCTGACACAAAATTTCAGCTTAAATGGGACTTAACATAACAAAATGTTTCTGGTAAGATAAAAATAAAGAATAAAAACAAACTTAAGGACATCAGGATAATATTCTAATGACAAACAATTTCTAAACTTATCTTATTTTTGAAATTTTGAAATTAACTGTCAAATTGTATGAATGCCATCTTTTAGTTCAGCATTCTCATGACATGGATGAAAAGAAATTCAGATTTTATGAGGGTTTATCAAAATGAAGACATCATCATAAATTTGGCACAGAAGCAAAGCTATCATGTGATATCTAGAAGACAATGAGTAAAACAACAGTACTAGTCCCTTCATATTGATGTTTGATATGTTTACTGAGAAATTAGGTCATTAAATTAATGTTTAAAATTAATTAAATAACATAGCATTATTAATATCAATTATTGCTGGGTTACTAATATCAATTATTGTTGACCCTTTGTGAATGGCACAACACCATCTGAACCATCATTAATGGCACAACATCATCTGAACCATCATAAATGGCACAACACCATCTGAACCATCATAAATGGCACAACACCATCTGAACCATCATAAATGGCACAACACCATCTGAACCATCATGAATGGCACAACACCATCTGAACCATCATAAATGGAACAACACCATCTGAACCATCATAAATGGCACAACACCATCTGAACCATCATAAATGGAACAACACCATCTGAACCATCATGAATGGCACAACATCATCTGAACCATCATAAATGGAACAACACCATCTGAACCATCATAAATGGAACAACACCATCTGAACCATCATAAATGGCACAACACCATCTGAACCATCATAAATAGCACACCACCATCTGAACCATCATAATGGAAAAACACCATCTGAACCATCATAAATGGCACAACACCATCTGAACCACATAAACACCATGAATGGCACAACATCATCTGAACCATCATAAATGGCACAACATAAATGGAACAACACCACCATCTGAACCATCATAAATGGCACAACAGAACCATCTGAACCATCATCTGAACCATCATAAATAGCACAACACCATCTGAACCATCATACATGGAACAACACCATCTGAACCATCATAAATGGAAAAACACCATCTGAACCATCATAAATGGAACAACACCATCTGAACCATCATAAATGGAACAACACCATCTGAACCATCATAAATGGCACAACATGGAACAACACCATCTGAACCATCATAAATGGAACAACACCATCTGAACCATCATAAATGGCACAACACCATCTGAACCATCATAAATGGCACAACACCATCTGAACCATCATAAATGGCACAACACCATCTGAACCATCATAAATGGCACAACACCATCTGAACCATCATAAATGGAACAACACCATCTGAACCATCATAAATGGAACAACACCATCTGAACCATCATGAATGGAACAACACCATCTGAACCATCATAAATGGAACAACACCATCTGAACCATCATAAATGGAACAACACCATCTGAACCATCATAAATGGAACAACACCATCTGAACCATCATAAATGGCACAACACCATCTGAACCATCATAAATGGCACAACACCATCTGAACCATCATAAATGGAACAACACCATCTGAACCATCATAAATGGAACAACACCATCTGAACCATCATAAATGGAACAACACCATCTGAACCATCATAAATGGAACAACACCATCTGAACCATCATAAATGGAACAACACCATCTGAACCATCATAAATGGAACAACACCATCTGAACCATCATAAATGGAACAACACCATCTGAACCATCATAAATGGCACAACACCATCTGAACCATCATAAATGGCACAACACCATCTGAACCATCATAAACCAACATTCTCTGAATCATCATCTGAAGAATTATCACTATCTGAAGCACTATTTCAACAGAATTAATGTTCCTTAAAACAGACATGAAAAACTGATCCAATGTTAATCTATAATTCTGAAATTGCAAGCGGATATTACTTGAATCAAATTTTAAGTTTCCAATGGTTTTTTATTACGTTTCATTAACAGCCTCAATAAATCATTCAGAATATTAAATGATAAAGAAATTAAACCAATTCTGTTCTGTAACAGAGAAAGTTATTTCTGATGTAACTATGAGTTTTGTAGGTACAATCATCTGTTAATCAATTATTCATGTGATTTTATCTCTTGGTTGTCACATATCCACCTATGGACAAGACAAAATGGCGTTACACGAACAGGTGTCACACGTACCGCTACGCTAACATGCTGTACATCACTTACCACTGCAATACCTAACACTCCAACTTTATTTTCTACATCTAAATGACTGAAGAAACCACTTTAATTTGAAATTTAGTATATCTGGTTGTGAGAGACCATCTTGGTACTTTTATCTTTACCAGAAAGAATAATTTATGTTTTTAACAAAAGAAAAGTAAATTGCTTCCTACTTAAAAATTGATGAAAAAATTTAATTTCAAAAAATGGTTCTATTGCTGAGGAAAGGGGAAAATATGGGATTGCACTTTTGAGAAAGCTATTTTTTTCATGTTGATGTATCTTTTCTTTCTCAGATGAAATGTTTTGGTGAAATGGAGTATGATATCTGCTACTAGACAATTCAGGGGACAATCTTTGATCAGTGGCATCAGTAGTAAGAAGAAAGCTCTCCAGAATTAATGGTAGCTCCGTCTTACCAAGAATTTTACCGACTTGATTATATGTGAGCGGTTTGAAAATTAATGAGAGCATGGTGAAACTCTACGATAGTGTCTACTTATATGATCTTTTAATCGACAGATTCCTAGAGTCTCCTGAAAATTTTCCATGAATAAGAATTACTACCTGATTTCTTTGTGAATCAAGTTCTTTTCTCAACAACTCTCCATTTCTTTTGAAATATAGCTTCCAATACTGACTACGCATTTTTTAACATGAATTTACTTTTTTGTTTTGTTTATGGGCATGGGGTGGATTACGCTGAGGCAAGGCGCATAATTATCTATGTGAAAAATGTAAGCGTTGACCAGATGACTATGTTGTCAGTTATTTAGTGATGTGTGTTCTTATAGGATACACAGTTGTCAATAATGAGTCCTTTACAGGACACATTGTTGTCAATAATGAGTCCTTTACCTGACACAAAGCTGTCAATAATGAGTCCTTTACAGGACACAAAGTTGTCAATATTTAGTCCTTTACAGGACACAAAGTTGTCAATATTTAGTCCTTTACAGGACACAAAGTTGTCAATATTGAGTCCTTTACAGGACACAAAGTTGTCAATATTGAGTCCTTTACAGGACACACAGTTGTCAATAATGAGTCCTTTACAGGACACAAAGTTGTCAATAATGAGTCCTTTACAGGACACAAAGTTGTCAATAATGAGTCCTTTACAGGACACAAAGTTGTCAATATTGAGTCCTTTACAGGACACACAGTTGTCAATTATGAGTCCTTTACAGGACACAAAGTTGTCAATATTTAGTCCTTTACAGGACACAAAGTTGTCAATATTGAGTCCTTTACAGGACACACAGTTGTCAATAATGAGTCCTTTACAGGACACAAAGTTGTCAATAATGAGTCCTTTACAGGACACAAAGTTGTCAATAATGAGTCCTTTACAGGACACAAAGTTGTCAATATTTAGTCCTTTACAGGACACAAAGTTGTCAATATTTAGTCCTTTACAGGACACAAAGTTGTCAATATTTAGTCCTTTACAGGACACAAAGTTGTCAATATTGAGTCCTTTACAGGACACAAAGTTGTCAATATTGAGTCCTTTACAGGACACACAGTTGTCAATAATGAGTCCTTTACAGGACACAAAGTTGAGTCCTTTACAGGACACACAGTTGTCAATTATGAGTCCTTTACAGGACACAAAGTTGTCAATATTGAGTCCTTTACAGGACACAAAGTTGTCAATATTGAGTCCTTTACAGGACACACAGTTGTCAATAATGAGTCCTTTACAGGACACAAAGTTGTCAATAATGAGTCCTTTACAGGACACAAAGTTGTCAATATTTAGTCCTTTACAGGACACAAAGTTGTCAATATTTAGTCCTTTACAGGACACAAAGTTGTCAATAATTAGTTTTTTACAGAACACACTGTTGTCAATAATGAATGGTCAATTATGACTTTTTTGGCGTTTGTTATCATCTGATGACGTCCGTAACTACTGGTGTGTTATGTGTGGTATAACTTTATCACATAATTAGCCTGTTATACTGTCAAATCATCCATGTAATAGCTTTGTAACTAGTGTAATGTACCCAGAGTGCTTTTGTTGGCTGTACCACTCAAAACTTGATTGTGATGACATAATATGGACAATGACCCTTTACTATTGAACTGAAAATAATGCAACAAAATAGCTGTATCCGTTTGATTTTGTCCTCCATTTTTACTTTGAAACATGTAAAAATATAACTTTTCTTTGTTAAGTGATGAAAAGTATCTTCAATTTATTTTCGCCTATGAAACTTGTCTTGAAAGTTTCAATTCTCAATTCTAAAACTTTCAAGACTGAAATTTCAATGAAAATTTTGTGAGGTACTTATGATATGACATAGGTATGAAGCACTGGATACAACATGACATGTTGCAATGTGACATACATGGCTAACACTGAGAAGGGGGAGCTCAGGGATGCAGTGATATGGTGGTTTATCAGCCGGTATCAGATGTTCACTGTATTAGTGTGGTGGTGGAGTGGGAAACAGACCTAGGAGGAGGGGGTATAGTGATCAGCATATATGTTGGTTTTACTAGTTAGCATCAGGTGTCCACAGTCCCAGTTGTTTACATGTCAGGGCTATGTCCCACAGACAGCATAATAAATCCTTTCACTACAAACCCTAACTGTCAATCACCACCAACTTACATCACAATATACCATTCAATGTTTCAGTAAAACATTATGCTTTTTTTTTTAACTTTAATACACATCTGTTTATATTTACTTTGTTGATGTATAATGAAATATCTTGTCATTAATTGATCCTAATTATCAACACAGAAATCATATACCTTAATTAGAATATTTCATCTTCATTTCCTTTAATCATATGATCCAGAAAATAATCAGAAAATTCCAAAACACAACTGAACTATTCTATCTTGAGTCAGTAATTCACCAATAACTGAACTCTCCCATCTTGAGTCAGTAATTCACCAATAACTGAACTCTCCCATCTTGAGTCTGTAATTCACCAATAACTGAACTCTCCCATCTCGAGTCAGTAATTCACCAATAACTGAACTATTCTATCTTGAGTCAGTAATTCACCAATAACTGAACTCTCCCATCTTGAGTCTGTAATTCACCAACAACTGAACTATTCTATCTTGAGTCAGTAATTCACCAATAACTGAACTCTCCCATCTTGAGTCAGTAATTCACCAACAACTGAACTCTCCCATCTTGAGTCAGTAATTCACCAACAACTGAACTATTCTATCTTGACTCACTATTTCACCCACAACTGCCCATCTAGTCACCAGTTCATCCACAACTGCCCATCTAGTCACCAATTCACCCACAACTGCCCATCCAGTCACCAATTCACCCACAACTGCCCATCTAGTCACCAGTTCATCCACAACTGCCCATCTAGTCACCCATTTACACTTCATATAGTCAGAAGTGCATCTACCAATCTAGTTACCCCCATATTTTAAAATAATTTGAACTGCTTGACATTCGTCAAACTTACCACAGACGTATTGATTAAGGTCATCCTGTATCTCTATCTTTAGCCCCTGTGGAGAGTGCCATACTGAGAGGAAACAGGAACCACTAATGGTGTTTATATTGTGACAGTTTGAATCAGACTCAGATATTCCCTGCCCTCAGAAGATCCCAGAAGATCAAAGCACTACTTAAACCATGAGATAAACGTTTGCTGTGTAATCTTGGACCCCGGCAATTAGCACCATATTTCAATATTTATATGTGCATTTTCTCATATTCTGATCAAAACTGTCTGTCAATTTAGATATCAAAAACATTTAAGATATTTAACATACTTTAAAAAAAATTAAAAATTTAAGACAGGATTTAAAATAAATGTGTATCAATATTTCACCAGGATAGAAGTAAATTATATGATAATATCAGACATTAGCAAATCTTCATGAAGTAGAAGTCCTTTAAATAAATCCCATCCTTACAAATCCTCCGTTTTCAGAAGGTAGACCATACATCTTTTGCCCCTATATCAGACATAGGTAATCAGTAAACACACTTATTTGTTCATATCTTGATCATTTTTGCAACAGAAACAGTATCTTTAGGTCGCAAATTTTTCAAAGTGTGCAACAGCTGCAAGTTGTTTTTCAATCCCCATCTGTTCATTATCAAAGTTACATATTGTAGTGTATACTGTAATTACCAGCTTCACTATAGTGTAAACAGTATAATGACAATGTAATAATTAATAAACAGTGTAGATATTATATCAAGGATTTGATGTTGACTCTAACCCTTACGTCTGAGTGAATACTTACCATATGTTCCCACATTGTATACTGACCATTTATTTTTTTGTCATATATTCCTCAAAATCATTGTCTTTTTATATGAATCATCAGTATAACATTCAACATTTCTGATTAAACAACGGAAATAAGATAATTGCCATGGTACCTTACCATAACATTCACTAAACCTGATTTCAAGAGTAAGAGGTGACTAAACTTGCTATCTTTTCACCCTCTTTTCTTCCTAAATAACTTTTCACTTCTTAAACCTCACTTGGCAAAAGATTCCTTCTAGTTGCAGTACTAATGTTGGCCTTCCCATTCAGGAATGTTTAAGATACGGTTCCCTATTCCAGACAAACCAAAACCTATAAATTAGTACTCAGCCACTACATCCTATTAGGTCTTCACCGTGAAATTAGCAGTAAGGACTAGTTGGCCCATTGTCAGTATAAAGTGAACAGGTGGGATGTTAGTACTACCATGTCCAAGTTATGACATTTGTGTGATGGCATTTCAACCTCTAAGTCATTTCATCATTCAACCTTACTTGTTACAAGGTTTCAAGAAACCACAAAAAATATTTAATTCATTGTTAAATTTCAGAATACAATTTCATGGTACAAATAATAAACAAAAAAACATGTCCATATCTCTATTTTTATGATTGCATTCTTCTTTTTTAGACACTTTAAAAGTCAGGATCCAATAATTTTGGCCCTTTTATTTTTTTTTCATTTCCTTAATCTATTTTCTCCTTGACCAGAAATTGAAATTTGAGTTAGGTTTAACATTTAACATGTGCACCTCTATTTAATTACATAGGGTTCAATCAATACCATTAAAACTATATTCCCCAATTTTAAATTAATATACTTGTGACATGTAATTTCTATATTCTCAAAAGAACTGAAAATCTTCTTTCTGAATTATTTTTTCCCTTAAATTTCTTCATTGATAAATTAGTGGGTGTACTTATGTATAGAATCTTTAGCAAGTGGAAAGCTTATCATCTCAGGGAGATACCTATTCACAGCTAGATATCTATTAAACCGACTGGAAGTGAATTACATACACAACAAAAAGCGTAAGAGTTTTCCAATTATGAGTCTATATAATTTAAGGATACACATCAGAAACTATTTTTCCATTCTAATATAACTAGGAAATAGTCGGAAGTTTTCACATATGACAGGGATTCCTTAGAGATCTTCTGTGTCTTGTATTGATTGCAAACAGGAACCAATGCGTGGTATAGAATAACGCAGCAGAAAAGTAATGAAATCAAATTAAAGATGACAGATAATATTATGAGACATTACAGTCCTGTGACAGACACACGGCCGTATTGTCAGAAATCAACACAAATCAGCACATATTCGATGGAATAGTATTACATTATTAATATCAGCTTATACAATATCGCCTTTCCTTCACGCCTAGTACAGCTCGCAATCGTAACACTCTGCTCAGAAGAGTTCTTCAATAGGAAGTCAGAAAGTCTATATTACACATAATTTATATCTAAACACAGGATAATCAGTAAAAAAGGCAACTATGATATTCTTCTGCCCGATTCTAGTTTTCACAATCGCAGTACAGTGGCTATTAATATAGACATTCATCACTAGGGAGATGAAGATGACCTCTGTCAGCCTCTGTATCTATGTAAGTGATGATCATGGTAAGATTGACAGGTGTAGAGAAATATGTACAAACTTACATCAATCACATTGACACTGGATCCCTCTGTGGAACAAGGCCGGCTGATGATGATAATAAAATTGGTTCTACAGTCCTTGGAGCAATCCTCACTATACAATATACATATGTGTGCAGTGTTACATGCACTCTGGTGATACCAGACAGAATCTGACTGCTTCTGTGTAGGAATGCTGCTGAAGCTGGGGTTACTCAGCATCTATTTCTATGTAATGAAATCTACTAGCCAAGCATGAAATCAGCACTATGGTCAGTGTTTTTATTCACATTTACGCCATAACAATCTCACAAGTGTTCTACTGATCTCTGAAACTGGAGGGAAAAAATGTGTGAATTCACATGGCAAGCGGGTGGGGGTATGTGTAAAAGATGTTATAGAAACTAATTGGAATGACAGAATTGATTTGTAGTGAATTAAAGAGACTTACAATTGGCTTTATTACTGTCCATGACTTTATAACTTTACTATTGTACATGAGCATGATTTAAGTATTGTTCATGACTTCATGACTTTATAACTTTATCATAGTACATGACTTAACTATTGAACATGACTTTACTTTTGAACATGACTTTACTGTTGTACATGACTTTACTGTTGTACATGACTTTACTATTTTACATGACTTTAATATTGTACATGACTTTAATATTGTACATGACTTAACTATTGCACATGACTTTACTATTGCACATGACTTTACTATGGTACATGACTTTACTGTTGAAGATGACTTTATTGTTGAACATGACTTTACTATTTTACTTTACTATTGCACACAATATTATCACTTTACCATTGAACATGACTGTTGTACATGACTTTACTGTTGTACATGACTTTACTATTTTACATGACTTTACTGTTGAACATGACTTTACTATTTTACTTTACTATTGCACACAATATTATCACTTTACCATTGAACATGACTGTTGTACATGACTTTACTGTTGTACATGACTTTACTGTTGAACATGACTTTACTGTTGTACATGACTTTACTGTTTTACATTACTTTACTGCTGTAAATGACTACTGTTGTACATGACTGTTGAGCATGACTTTACTGTTGAACAAGACTGTTGAAAATGACTTAACTGTTGCACATGACTTTACTGTTTCACATGACTTCACGGTTGAACATGTCTTTACTGTTGAACATGACTTTACTGTTGCACATGAGTTTACTGTTGAACATGACTTTACTGTTGCACATGACTTTACTGTTGAACATGACTTAACTGTTGAACATGACTTTACTATGGTACATGACTTTACTGTTGAACATGACTTTACTGTTTTACATGACTTTACTGCTGTAAATGACTACTGTTGTACATGACTGTTGAACATGACTTTACAGTTGAACAAGACTGTTGAAAATCACTTTACTGTTGAACAAGACTGTTGAACATGACTTCACTGTTGAACATGACTTTACTATTACACATGAGTTTACTGTTGCACATGACTTTACTGTTTAACATGACTTTACTGTTTTACATGACTTTACTGTTGCACATGACTTTACTATTGCACATGACTTTACAGTTGAACAAGACTGTTGAAAATCACTTTACTGTTGAACAAGACTGTTGAACATGACTTCACTGTTGAACATGACTTTACTATTACACATGAGTTTACTGTTGCACATGACTTTACTGTTGAGAACATGACTTTACTATTTTACATGACTTTAATATTGTACATGACTTTACTGTTTTACATGACTTTACTGTTGAACATGACTTTACTGTTGAACAAGACTGTTGAAAATGACTTTACTGTTGAACAAGACTGTTGAACATGACTTTACTATTGCACATGACTTTACTGTTGAAAATGACTTTACTGTTGCACATGACTTTTGAACATGACTTTACTTTTGCATATGACTTTACTATTGCACATGACTTTACTGTTGAACATGACTTTACTTTTGCACATGACTTTACTATTGCACATGACTTTACGGTTGAACATGTCTTTACTGTTGAACATGACTTTACAGTTGCACTGTTTTACATGACTTTACTGTTGCACATGACTTTACTGTTGCACATGACTTTACTGTTGAACATGACTAACTGTTGCACCTGACTTTACTGTTGCATATGACTTTACTGTTGCACATGACTTAACTGTTGCACATGACTTTACTATTGCACATGACTTTACTATTGAACATGACTTTACTGTTGAACATGACTTTACTGTTGAACTGTTGAACACCACTTACTGTGCACACAACATTATAACTTTTCTTTTGTACATGATATTACATGGCATACCTCTATAGTATCTGATAAATAGTGATACCTCCATAGTATCTGATAAATAGTGATACCTCCATAGTATCTGATAAATAGTGATACCTCTATAGTATCTGATAAATAGTGATACCTCTATAGTATCTGATAAATAG